GTCTACCATTAAACGTAAACGTGGTATTATCAGGGAATTCAATACTACCACAGAACTCTGTACGTCTACGCACACTTGTGTAGTCTCACTTAAGTAGTTAATTTAGATTATTAGTTTACAGATGTCAATGTAGTCGGCTATTTTGTGTACGAGATACTAATTAGTCTGTTACGAAGAAACATTTAACGCCACGTTAAATTATTGCACGAGTGCAAACCTGAGCATATACCAGCACTTTAATAATCAGGGCTAATTAGGGCTTTTAGTCGGTACGTCTGCCGAACTCACAGTTTTCCCTGTGATATCATGTTGATAATGTATATCACAGTATCACTGTGATATCACAGCACTCATATTGATATTAGTGATCACTGCGATATCACAATACTCATATTGCTGTCGTGGTGATCACTATGATATCACAATAGGTACTCATACTGCTGTCGTGGTGATCACTGCGATATCACAATACTCATATTGCTGTCGTGGTGATCACTGTGATGTCACAGCACTCATAGTGATATTAGTGATCACTGCGATATCACAATACTCATAGTGATGTCGTGGTGATCACTATGATATCACAATACCCATACTGCTGTCGTGGTGATCACTGCGATATCACAACACTCATAGCACATCACTGTGATATTTCAATGATTATTGTTGTCGGGTCAGTCGCCAATGGGAATTATCTACCAGAGATAGTTTTTACGTCTTGTGATCAACAAATTATTACCGTGATATAACGATGACGACTCTGATATTACGATAGGCGACAGTGATATCACAAAGAGTACTTCAGTACAAAATTAACTTATAGGCTATTACTACATCACTCTCATCTCTGTATATCAGGATTATCGTTGTTAATTTAATAATTGCAGTATGTTTAATGGGGATTAAACATTGAACACGTGACCAGGCTCTACGGTATAGTTTCCGTCCATATGAAGGTGCGTTTTGAAAATGAAATTGTTTCATCAAGGAACTGTAATGATGTTTAGATATAATAATCCTGTTGTTGAGATTAATCAAGAAACAGTCAGCAGTTCTAATTAGAGTTACGGATTATAGAAAAGAACAATCATTGCTTCAGTTGCTTGAATTAAGATGGTTTGTGGGACACGTGATTAGTTGTTGACGTCAACATCTAGTTGCTTTGTAGTCACGATAGTACGATACAAGCGGCACATTTATAACGATCATCATACTTCCTTCCACTTGCATACTTTCATTTCCTTGGTTGTAAGAGTCAGTGTAGTCAAAAATGGCAAACTGCGCTTACCCGCAAGACGTTTCGCACCTATTGTTGCTATCTGACAGTTGTTCGCCTTTAAATAAAAACTTAGGTTATAGACAAAAAACTCATTCCTTACTTCGTCTCATACGTTACTGGTGACTGAAGTGTTTTTAAAACTAGTGTCATTGTAAACAATGCCATCTTATATTTGCTTATGACTATTGTAAAAATAGTTTAACCGTGTAAAATAAAATAAATAGGCCTAAATAAAACCTCTGGCTGGTCATTCCAGAAACATTCCCTGGACTGCACCTCGCGACTCGCGTATCATCACGTATCGCACGTTTGCTGCTGTTTCGCTGACATTTCAGACTGAACTGAAGCATGACTCACCTGAGCGGCGAGCGGCGTTTTCGCGAAAATCGGTGTACACTTATCCCGCCCGCCGCTCAGACGTATCGTGGCCACCCTCAACAAATTTACACGCAATTAAATGAGACACGACGTCAGAGCGGCGCCGCTCACCGCTCGACACTTCGTGAGGAGTGCTTTACATAAATTGTTTAGGGTACGAACACAGCAGAACCGGGTTGTACGCTGATCTACGTTTTCGAAGCTAGTGATTTAAAAAAATACTCAGGCATTCTTGTAAATATTTTTATAAAGATAAACTATTATAAATTTTTTAACACAGGTTAACATCACTTAAAATTCAAAATTATTATTGAAGTTAGAATGTACCGGTATGTAATTTTTTCCCAAAACATGAACCAGTATGGATGGTTACATTGGAGTTAATTGGTAATTCTCTTCAGGATGCACCTAAGATCTCATGTAAAGGCACTATTGAAAAGAAATAAGCATACTTTAAAGGTTATTCACGCCCAACAAAGTAAACCCACTTTAAAGAATCACTAAACCGTATACACACTCTATATTAATTGAAACATCCAAACTTACCCTTACCTAGAAGAATTATAGTTGTCAATCATTGGAGGAATTCCCCAATCCCAAAGTTCCTTAAGATAAAAAGATAAACGGGATCGATACTTCTGTGCATTTGTAGAACCCTAATGACTCAAACCACACTCTACTCTAATACTTACTAGGATTCTTCGTGATTATAACGGAGCCTCTGGATATTTCCCGCAGACTCGCCAGTCCGACCTCCTGGAGGCTGAACATCTCGTGGATGACGAGGCCGTAGTCGATGAAGAGACTGGAGCCGCCGATCCTCACCAGGTTGGGGAACAGCTTCCCCAGGTTCCTCAGACCCTTGACTCTGTAGAACAGGAGGTACTGGGTGATCTCCCTCAACTCAGGAAGACTCCAGGGCTCAAAGTCCTGCTCGGTGGCTCTTTCAATCAGCACTATCTGTACATATCCTTCCACCACGGTGCAATTGGCCAGCTTCTCCAGGTTGGACACATCGTTGCGGATGTTGATACTTTGGCAGATTCGGCCACTAGAAGGTCGCAGAAGACCCAGAAGGACGAAGAAGAGGAGATTCACATTCATCTTTGACGTTTTAAAATCCAACCTCGAAAGTCCTCACGGAAAAGTTCAAAAGACATTGCGACTAAAGAAAGTTTTTTAATCGGTTTGTTAATCGACAGTTAAAGCTTTGATGTTAACGACTTCAAGAAAATCCGCTGTGTTTATTTATAACCTAAAAAGAAAAAACATAAAAAATGTACAATGGTTAAATTAGTTCAGACAAGGAGTATAAAAGTTGTCAAAATTAACGGGTAAACCTAGTTTTTGGCAACGCTTCTGCGTATTTCTGAACAGATTTTTTTTAAGTGCGCCCTAACGTGTATGTGCAGTAAACTAAATCACAGTACAAAAGTAAACAAGGTAAATTGTGTTTACTTGTAATCGGAAAAATTTTTAGCTTTCCATCTTTAAAATACCTTGCTCAAGAACAAATACCATATTTCATTCTTGGTAAATTAAAATGATACTTAAAAATAAAAAAAATAATTAGATTACCAAAAGGCATGATTTTCAATCGTATGGATAACAGCGTTTGACGCCTTGTCACACAGAGCTCGCTACCGCGGCGGGTGCGAATTTTGAAAATTTGCTCACCATGTTATGTGCCAAGTCACACCACACTCCCGCGCGCCCGCGGTACACATCTCAATAGACTCTTACATGCATTTTCTAATTTTACGAAGATAATTTCCATTCTAACCAGGGAAGCATTTTTCTCACCATTACCACAAGACCAAAGCTACTTTGGTAAACAAGTATTTTTTGACTTCAGCAGAGATGAAATTTTGAAGAAGTCATTTTTTTTTTAATAACAACAACCAATGCAAACAAAGAGACGGGGTTTTCACAAAAGATGGTACAGGGATGTCTATCGTCACTGAAAGATAATTTGATTTTTAGTTTGTTTAAATATTACAATAATTTGTTTACATTTGAGCTTTTTAGGGAAATCACTCCCTGCAAGCCACTAGGCCATATGTAATCAACTACCGTCAAGAAATCGAAAACTCACCTCCGAAAGTTTCTTAAACTTAAAGATTAGAACATGAAAATTGTCCACGCAAATACACAGCATACATCACAGACATGTTCTCCTTTCAGAGTCACTCGCTGCCTACAGGAGTGTTCATACAAAACTTAACACCAATAGAAGTTCGCGATTCTGAAATACAATTTAGGGACAACTCCTATTCACACGAGTTTTTATCGACGCGGAAATGCAATGGTTATATGGGTTTCTAATGAACGTCCATCTTATATTTACATATCATGTTTACTTTGTCTGATTGCAACAACACCAAACGTCAATGGAAGTTCATGAGGAACTTCAAACCACGACATTAAAACACCAAACAAAGACACCTGCTACTTACAAAGATTCTTCTTCTTGAAGCCTAGAGACTTTCCTGACAAAATATCACCATCATCCCCACATCAAAGGTTCATTTCTTTCATTATTGCAGCAACACCAAACACCAACAGGAACTTCAAACAACTACACTAAAACATCAACCAAAGTCATATCCTACTTACAAAGATGCTTCCCAAAGCCAAGAGACTTTCTCTGACGAAATTTCAACTTGACACCCACATCAAATGTTCATCTCTTGCATGTGCAACACCAAACATCAACAGGAACTTCAAACAATGACACTAAAACATCAACCAAAGTCACCACCTACTTACAAAGATTCTATTCATGAAGCAGATTTCTTTGACAATATGTCACCTCCATCCCTAATGTGTAAACATCATTATAATGTCCATCTCTTGTCTCACTGCAGCAACACCAAAAATATACAGAAACTTCAAACCACGACACTAAAACGCCAACCAAAGAACCTCCTACTTACAAAGATGCTTCCCAAAGCCAAGAGAGTTTCTCTGCCGAAATGTCACCTTCATCCCCACGTCATATGACCCCCCTCTCACCATTGCAACAACACCAAACAGCAACAGGAACTTCAAACCATGACTTCTCCTTTTTGAAGCCAACAGGTTCTCTGACGAAATTTCAACTTTACACCCACATCAAATGTTCATCTCTTGCATGTGCAACACTAAACATCAACAGGAACTTCAAACCACGACACTAAAACACCAACCAAAGACACCTCCCTTCATCTTGAAGCCAAGAGACTTGCCTGACTAAATATCATCTTCTTCCCCACATAATGTGTTCATATCTTGCATGTGCAACACTAAACATCAATGCAAAGTCCACAACTATGACACTGTACAACCAGGAACACCTACTTACAGGGATTCTTCTCGATGCGGACCGCTCCACGCACGACACTAGTGAGAGAGTGCAGACCTAGCTCTTGCAGCTGGAACATCTCGTACACCACGAGGGCGTAGTCCTCGAACAACCTATGGCCACCGATCACCTCCAGGTTGGGAAACACCCTCCCGATCGTCCGCAGTCCGTTGACCCGGTAGAACATGAGGTAGTCAGTGATCTCCCGGAGCTCGGGGAGAGTGAGGTTCTCAAAGTCCGTTTCGACAGCTCTCTCCATCAGCACGATCCTGACGTAGCCTTCCACGACACGACATCCCCTCAGGAGGTCGAGGGAGACGAGGTTGTTTCTGAGGTCGATGCTGGGGCAGATTCGAGATGAGGCGGTGGTCCAGAAGACTGAGATGATGAATGAGATGAGATGCATGATATGAGATGAAGCTCGTCTAGGGAAAATGATTTGGTATTAGTGGAGGTGAGGTGATGGGTGTATAGCGACGAGGAGGGAGATGAGGTATATAACATTTCAAGTTGATAACACTTGAAGAACCAGTGGTAGTACAGTATTCCCCAGAGGACAAATAGTGGGCATTGGCTATACGAGTAAAATAATGCATGGTTATTATAAATTTATAAAGTAATATTGCCTTAAGTAACCGAGATGAATAACTGCAATTATATTACTTGTTTACCACGACCAGAATATTTATTTTTAATCACAGACATTACTTTAAAAGTGTACAGTTTGCCAGGACAACAACCCTGTTATAAAAATTAGCAATCACCTAGTACGTACCTCGGGGTGCTAAAAATATAAAAATTAGAACAATCTAAGGGCGAAAAATTGAAATTTGAAACAGAAAAGTTGTGATAAAAATTTAAAAGAGGATTTATGAAAAAATTAATACGTTGAATGATAAAAAATTATTGGGACAAGTAGACAGAATGTGTGATAATCCAGGAAAGAGGAGGAGAATGCAAAAGCTGATTTGTTTTCACACAGAACAACAAACATAAATTACAGCACTGAACACACAAATAACACAACATTTTTAATGATGAACGAACAAAAACACTGATTCGAAATCGTTGATCTAGCCTATGTGGATGACAGTTTAGGCTACCTAATCAAATAGTTTTCATCAACACAGCTGATAACTGACGGAAGTTTACAATGTATTCGAGAGCTCTCGAGGTTTACAGATAAAACACTCGAAAATTGAAAAGTCGGGCGAACTTTTATCACTACTATGTTGACCTCATCAAGCCAATTATGAGACCATAATTACCATGTTCGCATTGCCAGCGTCCAAATACGCATCTCCGAGTCATGTACATTTTCTGCTTGTAGAAACCTTGTTGTTTTAGACATTGCAATAAAAGTAGAATTTAAAATGGACATTTTGATTAGTAATCCGGACAAACAATGTTAGTTACCGCGTCACTTGTGTAAATTCGACTAATTTCTAAATTAAATTACAGACAAAGTATTCTTGGCCTCAGGCTTTGTTAATGCGTAAAGAATTCGGAAACCATTGATTCGAAGCGCCAATTTCAGTAATATATTCCCCATTCCCACTTTCGTTGAACGGTTGAACAGTAACAACGGCTCCAAAGCTCCGGTTAAAAAAATCTCCGACACACGAAACGACTTGAGGCGTTGAGAGGCCAAGGGAGATATGTGACTTTTTTAAAAATGTTGTCATGGTAACGGGTTTTGTTAAAAAAGGGTGGAATTTCAACAAATAATTCACTTATATCCCTTGGCCTCCAAACTAAACACCTAAGAGTTGGAAGCCAAGGGGTATAAGTGAATTTATTTTTATTTTTATTTTATTTTTTATGACTATGAAAAAAATACAATGACATTTTTTAAAAAGTCACTTATCTCCCTTGGCCTCTCGACGCCTCACTTGTCTTGCTTCGTAGTAGATGTTAGTAGCATAGATGAAGTAATAGTAGCAGCCATTACAACAGTGCAAGTCCGTCACTGTTAATCAAGTGGCCATAAACAAAACATAACCAAAGCAAAGCAAACATTATCAACATGTCCTCCAAACTCCATTGTTAGCCCAGAAAATGACCTCATTAGCTTGCGCCGTTTTTTAAACGCAGTTGTTTGTGATTTTTTAACTGATTGTGAGCAACAAGTTTTTGCTACCATGCGCGTTTTAATAGTTCAACGGTAGTACTATATTTTAATTTTAATCGTTTACAAACAAATCCGTCATGAAATTCCGATTGACCGGAAATATAATCGATGGAAATTTAAGGAATCACGTAGACACGAAGACCTATGAAGTGCCTTCAAAATAATGTTGTAGATCTAGAATCAGATTTTACAAACAAGTTTCCGGTCAGTGACCTTGGCCTTGGATTGTTCGATTGTTGGTCTCTCATGATGAGATTAGGTGGGATTTGAACTACTGGTACCTATTGAAGGCGACGCATTCAAGGCATTCTTTGAGTTTCAGACGCATCCCTTTTTTCTAATATGTTGACATTGCAACAAAAGTTGAATTAGGTTCCACATAAATATAAAATAATTTGGTTGGATTCAACTGTAACAATATTCCAGCGACGTTCTTTCAATAATGTTTCGTCTCCGACTTTCGAAGCTTTCAGAAAATAATATCTAATCTGTGAAAAATAGTTATTTGTGTAACTACAGTAGTTAGCATAGTGGCACTTTGCTGCACACGAGAGCAACGGAATGATCTCGAGTGCAGCAAAAAGGCCTTTTGCACTCGTGTTACACATTATATTTTTCCTACAGTCACTATAAAGCATCTATATATTTAATACACAGTTGTAACACTGTTTTCTCAGTAATTACTGGACCGATCTACAAGATTTATGTCTCAAATTAAAGGGGATAGTGTGTAGATTTGCCGAACTTCCTTAGAATTTACGTTTTTTCTAAGGGCTACGACCTACAGCCCTTTAAAGGTCGAGTCAATACAATTCTTATTGAAGAATTTAATACACAGTTTATAAATTATTCGTCAGCTGTTTTAATGTTTGTCAGACATTTGTTATTATTTTTATAACCTCACTTTCAGTATGCAATTATTAAACTTGGAGTTTCTGTTTATAAACACACGATTTTGATCAAGGAAAGTGTATTTGTTAACTTATTTTTTAAATGTTTTTGTTTTCCTGCAAAGTGATCTGAAGGAAAATGGTAATTGAGTTTAAGTTTGAGTATGGAATGTGAAATAATACCCATAGTAGGGAACGGAAACTTATTGTTTTGATCAATATAATTTATTCTCTACGCCCACCAGAATAATCATGGGGAAATCCGCTTGCAAGTTGTACATATAATTGCTAATGAGTGGGAAACATACAAACATTTTATAGTAGGTGACGAATCTTACTCAAGATCGGTGTTAGACGTTCAGTGGTACCAAACTTTACCTTCTCAAGATGGCGAGTACGCTGGGATACGTGGAACTACAATATATCAGTGAATTTTTTTTTCAAGTACACAGGGAAGTTGCTTGAGAAACTGTGACTTACCATTCGGTTCTGGCGAAGAAATATGTGACTTGATGTTTAATGGTAATGTTGACTCGGGTCATTATAGCGTTATAAAACTTTATCATTAACCCCAGGGTGTGAAAAGTACAAAAAGAAAAAGAAAAGGTAATCATTAACCGGGCGTAAAGAGACATACCGAACGAAAAAAATTGTAGAGAACCATCGAACTAAAAAGATAAAGAGCGATGTTGGTGTTAAATGTGCTCTGGGAGTCCCTACAAAAAAAACTCTTTTGAATTGGGGTCGTTAGATTGGATTTGTCAGTACTGCAAATCTATGAATTTTGATTGAGTCAGAACAGACTAACTGGGACACAAATATTTTTTTCTTATGTTGTCACAAGGGGAAGGTAGGCCTATAATGAACTCCTTATCAACATTTTGAGTTTAAGGAAAATCTTATCAACAGCGACTATAAAAAAAGTATTAAGGGTCAAAAGAGACAAAAAACTATTTGAGTAAAATATAATACAAATCTGCATTTGAAATGGCCAGTTCTAAGTCTCACTTGAATCAACATCTTTCTGGTAGTGGTAGTCTACATAGTTTTAAAATCGAAGACTCCTTTTCCATCAAATTGGACCATTAATACCCTCTAACATTGAACAAAGTATGACCAAAGTTATATATACGACGTAAACACAGCTTTTACTCACAGTATGGGTCAAAGATTCGTGTAATGTGACCAACTGCTGATGCGTGATTTACATGTAGGCTAAGTGACTATCTTTATTCCATACAACAAATGTAATGAAAAAAAAAACGACGAATATAGGACTATACTTGAACAAATTATCTAAATATCATAAATAGCTGCTTATTAGGTTATCAGCATTGCCCAGTTCATATACTATTTATTTTTCAAATGAAACTCGAATTAATATAAAACATTCATTTGGTTAAAATAATATATCGGTTCGATTAACATGAAATAGTTTATACAGGCAAACTAACAGTTCTATTTCATGTAAAAATTAAACAACCCCTAAATAAAATACAAAGCTAAACAGTATTTGTTAATTATTATTTCTTTTATTGCTGACAATATTCCCGTGGCGGAGCACGGGTGGTTAACTAGTATGAATAATTAGTCTTTCAAACACTATACAACACGTTTTTAGGTTCAGCTGGCAACACAAATAAGTGCCCTAGAGCAAGCCTAGAGAAAGGTATTAATTTTCTTGTTTATTAAGATCGTAGGAATGTTTTAAAAACGTTTAAAAGAAAAGTTCAGAAATACCGAAAAGAGAACATAAACTATAAACACGATATATATATGACAGGTTAAATCGTAGTTATAATATTCAATAAACTGCTCATAGTATTATTATCTTTAAGTGTTGCCAACCTATTTCCAAGCGTACCTACACGGATTTCGAGCATAATAGAACCACGCTGTTTTGTGTTGTTTCGTCGGAATCCTGACGTGCGCCAAAGTATAAACCGTACGACAAAATATAAATATGCAGCAATTAGCAGCTTTATGTACTATAAACAGTACAAGGAAGCCAACTTTGTCGGGTGACTGTAGGAAAAAATAATTTAAAGGTATTTTCTTGTTTATTAAGATCGTAGGAATGTTTTAAAAACGTTAAAGAAAAGTTCAGAAAGTTCAGAAATACCGAAACTATAAACACGAAATGACAGGTTAAATCGTAGTTATAATAGTCAATCAGCTGCTCATAGTATTAACATAGATGAAGTAATATAATAGTGTTGCCAACCTATTTCTAAGCGTACACGGACATAAATAGAACCACGCTGTTTTGTGTTGTTTCGTGATAGTGCGCCAAAGTATAAACCGTACGACAAAGTACAAAACCGCACGACAAACTACCGTACGACAACGTATAAATATGCAGCATTTAGCAGCTTTCTGTACTAT